TAGCCTTTATTACAAGTGGATGCAATATCAGAAATTAAACTTCATTTTACTTTACCTAGTCACCTTATTTAGCAGACAAAGCACACAGTAGAGCCATGCTAGATTAGCATTGCAAACACACCATTATTTTGCAGATCCTTTTAACAAATTAAACCCCCCCCCACAAAAGCTAGAATGTTTGCTAGAGATAACTTAAGGCAAGAGGATGAATGCAATCCTCCTGTTCTCCTTTCTCCCTTCCACACTTTCTCAAATATTCTATTACAATAAGCTATTGTATTTGACTGAGGATCACACAAACATTTTGCAGTAAGCTCTGCCAGAATCATTTAGGAATAGAAAATTAGGTTTTTTAGGATGAAGCTGTCATTTCTACCATTTTAGAGCAATACATTAATATGAGTGTTTACATTAATTATGTGAATCTGCAGCTAAGACTATGAATGCCAGACACTGAATTCCACTTGGCAATTAAGTCATTGTTTAGCTGGACTGTATCTGGTGGATGGGTAACGAAGGGCCAACAAGTTTTGCAAGTTCCTGCTAGACCAGGATTACTCAAGTTTTTTCTACAATGTGGCCTATATCTTAACAGACCAATTGCCTTGGGAATGACTTCCCTTCAATATGGTATAACTGAAGTGGGGGTGGGGAACAACAGGGCAGCAGCTCCAGGCACTGCCTTTGTGGGGTGGCGCAAAAACAGCCACTGCTGCAGCTGTAGCTAATTGCGCCACCACAATCAGCACAGGGACAGTCTGCTCTGCCCCAAGAATGGAGCTGCCTTGTTGTGCCTCTGAATTCACCTCCCCTCCCACTTGTCATCGGATATTGTTCCTGTGGGAAGGAAGAAAGTGCTTCTTTGGAAAGATTTAGCACTACCTGCATACAAATAATCTGTATGTTTTTACCTGGTTTTAGTTTGAAAAAAAAACAAAACAAACAAACAAACAAACAAAAAAACACATTCTGTCATTTTTCATAGAGGAAATCTCCAGAGGCCTGCTTCTCTGCAGCCTGCACTCTGCCCTGCCTTCAGACACACCAAGTGACAGTAAAACAGGGTCACTTTCACTGTGGTAGCATTTTTTGCCCCGTTCTGCAGTCACTGACACCAGTGCCAGGCACGGAAACATGGGGAGTCAGACCCAGTGTCTGCTCTTGCTCTTCAGTTCATCTGCTCTGTTTCCCTCACTACAGACCAGCCACTTTTTCAGGCACCACCAGCATGTGCTCCATAGTTTGGGAACTGCTGTGCTAGTTAATAAGACAGTTGGTGGACATTTTATTGCAACACTTACGATTAAAACAAATGTAAACCACAACTTCCTGTAAGACGTAATGAAGGATAAGTTATCTAGGGCCTGAAGCTCTCCTTTCCCTAACACCTATCACAGGAGAGGCAAGTTTTAGGCATTGGGGAAACTGTAACAGGGGTGTTCTTTTGGTGCTTGCTGTGACATGGGGTTTCTAATAAATCACATCAACAGTTCTTTTTCATTCTGTATTTTTAAACATACCAATTGCTAGGTAATTATTATAAACTGTACAAGATTAGAGAATGGAGACTGCAAGTGTTCATGTAGCAGTTAGTGCAGGGGGCCACAGTCAAGATTGACATTCTACTTGTAACAGTCACTGACTGTGAGCTTGGGGTAAGGTTGGGAATATTTATCCCTCCTGCAATTTCCTAGAGAATTGTAGAGTTCTGAGATCCTCAAGGCAAAGAAACCATGAAAACACAGAGCAGAACAAAGATAATGAATACCATGCAAATGACAGAATTTAGGACTTTTGTCTTAAGAAAAAAACTTCCAAAATAGATACAAAAAGAAATATTGTCTAAGCAATATGAATGTTACAATTTACAAAGTGAGCTACAAGGTGTATTCATCAATCTGCTATGGCAAACATGCAGACTCTGCTAAAATTGGCAGTACTGGTAATCAGCCTAATTAGAGTGTAGATTTAGAACAACAGGTAATTGCATTGTAAAACCAGTTTTAGCTTGCTGAATTTGAGATTGCTGTATACCCAATGCAACAGCTGTTAGCACAAATCTCACATAATTCAGTTTAAGTACCAGTAAGTTTGTCTGAATAGAAAATGTTGACATCTTTCATGCTGCTTTATCTGCACCACTTAACTTCCTTTTTATAGATATGCGTGTATGCAACTCCAGAGAGAAGCCTTAAAAAGTGCGAAGGTTTTACTAACAGGTCATTCTTACAAACAAACAACTCACAGCCCCTTCCCTGAAAACAGAGGCTTATTATACAACCCAGCATTAAAACTAAATTTCCAGAGTCAGATTCTGTTAAAGCCCTTTCATACCATGCTCTCAGAATGAGGAAACCCACTTACATAAATTTATGTGCAATTAGGTCTCAGTTTTGCTTTTCATAGTAGAAATGTGGGATTGCTGAAGTCGCTTTTGCATGTCTGATATCTACTTTGAAGAATATGAACAAACTGCTCTCTTATCAGGTTACATTTGACTTAACCAGTAATGTATTAAAAACATAGCCGGGGAGCCAAATAAGTTAGTTTTATGGCATAATTTTGCCCAAAGTTAAACTGCTGAGAAAATAAATCAGAACTGGGAAAAAGAGGTATATTAGCAGCAATGATGCCAGATTCACCAGATCAGCATTTGCAGTAAGAGGCAACATGCTCCTGTGAGAAGGTCTTATTCCACACAAACACAAAGTGTTCCAGAAGACTGAATTTCTGCCTCCATTTGGAAAGGCTGCACCAACCTTCAGCTCAGCCCCCATGACAGAAATCTAGAAAGCATTCCACTTTAACTTGGTTTTGGCACAGACCTAAATCATTTCTTTCTGTAAGTGTGGAGTATGAATCTTTACTCACTGCGGGCACTTGTACACATGATGGAGGTTTAATCCTTAGGGTTGTATTCTATGCCTCCTAAATTGAAACAGTGGGGTTTTATTCTTCTGTCACTGGTATGGCAAGGGACCAGATCCTCCCCTCCCCAGCAGAGCCTGCCTGCCTGCAGCCAGAGGGTGAGATGCTGGTGGGCTGAGCAGCTCCTGAGCTGCAGGGGGCCCTGGTCCTTCCCACCATGGCAGCGGTACCCCCTGGAGCCACACTGGTGGTCTTCTAGAGGGCTGGGTGCTGCCCCAGCTCAGAGGTAGCACCCAGCCCAATCCAACTCTTCCCGACCCCAAGCAGGGACAGCATCTGACCCGCTACCAACCTGCCTGGGCAGCCCTGAGGGGCACCACCACCATGAAGGGAAAGACCAGGGCTCTCACAGCTCAGGGGCCACTTGGCCCACAGGCAGCTCACCCCCCGGCTGCAGGAGAGGCAGGTAGTTTCTGCTGGAAAAAAGGATTGGGCCAGGCAGAAGTGGTGAGTGGCCCAATTCTTTTTTTCTGCAGAGCCTGCCCACCCCTCCTGTGGCCGCGGGTGGGGTGAGGGGGTGAGCTGACTAACAGCTGCAATGCATCATTGCAAACTAAACTAAATTTGGGTGTAGTTTAGTTTGCAATGATGCAAACTCTTTAAAAAAAAACAAACACATATGTACAGTGTGATGACATTAAGCCATACAACATGACATTTTTGTCACTTGTACATGGCAATGGCATCACATAAGCATCCTGCCTGATTATTGCTTCAAAGAATATTATGATCATTAAGAAAAAGTGACTTTACATACGTAACAGAACATTATATGTGTTTAGAATTTAATAAGGAAAAAAAAAATCCTTTTCATTACTATCTGCAGAAAGGAACATAGTAAGCAGTCAGGATGGAGAGCTGAACTGGACAATTTAGGTTCAGTTTTACTGAGTCAGTTTCCCTTTTCTGTCTTTGTGATTAGAGTTTTTTAATCTAACCAAACGCACTGTCATGTACAACAGGAAGCACAATATATCAATAATCACATTGGAAAAAACATCTATTTTAATTCTCTTCTAAACACCCCTTTCCCCCCTACCCCACAGCAACTTTCAGAGCAAGTAACTGCTACGGTAGACAATTAATTACACAAAAAGTTACATTTTGATTCTCCCCTACACACAGATCTCACTCAAAGCAGCAGACCCCCACTTTTACAGTTGGCTTGAATAGTACTTCATACTCAAGTTTCTACTTATTTATAGGCTGCATTGGCTACTCAGAAACAAATGCACTAGTCCCTGGTCAGGGGAAGGATAGGAAGTTTCAAAGTGCATGGTCAACAGCCTACAAAAGCCCATAGCAGGGAGGTCCAGGTTGGATTCATGAACTACATCTATCAGTCTTTTCCTGCCTAGAGCTGACTGTAGGCTGGGGACTATTTCTTACCCATTCTGGTTGTCTTTTGGTCAGATCTTCCAGCTGCCGAGGACTTGAAAGAAAGCAGTTTGCAGTCTGCCTGACAGCACTGGATTTTGCAGAGCAAATGTTTTTCTCAGGGGGTCTTATATGCAAGGGAAAGGGGCGGGGAGAGCAGAAAGCTGCCAAGGGGAGGATCTGGTGCTAAAAGAGTGTGGGAGGTACTAGGATAACATACGATCTTCTTTCTTGTACCCAATTAATGCTGCAGGAAGCTACTCGGTTCTACTGCTCCCTGCTGCTCCCTTTTGAAATACAGAGCTGTATCGGATTCTTGCGGACTTCCCACATGCTTCTTCTATTCGTACTCTAGACACGTATATGGGGTAGTCGTGTGTGGTGAGCACAAAAACCCTCTTTATGCAGAGAAAAGCCTTTTGCTTTTAGCGGGGGGCGGGGAAGAGTTCTGTTTATAAAACTTTTCTTTTTGGGTAGGATTTCAAGTCTCCTAGTAGGCAATGCACGCCTAACCAGATCACAGCTCCTAACTGTCTTTGCTTGGCAGGCAGTTGTGTTTTAATATTCGCATGGCTCTTCAGTCCCTTAAGTCAGACAGCTGGATGATATCTTCCCACTCACCAGCTGCAAGCAGATCCATTTCTCCTGTGAAATCTTCTGCAAATTATTTAGCTGAAACCACAGCCTCATCTCAAACCCCTGTGTTAGCAACTCCAACCCCTGAGCTGAGGGCGTGACAGATAGAGGCACACAGGCAATTAAATTAATTTAGTCCTTTTGCCTGTTTATAAATTAGATACAAGCAGCCTGTGTTTGTTTGTTTTTTAATTTAATCTCTTTGTTGCTAACTCAAATGCTTTGGGCAAACACATTCCAACCTAATGCATGCTTGAGAAATCCTTTCTGTGAGCCTGTCTTTGATGCTTTGAGAACCACAGTGGCATATGTGGGCCCATCTAAATCATCCAATATCATTTCTCCCTCCTGACTGGACACTCTGACCTTAACTGACCATTTTCAACCAACAAGGTAACAAGGTGTATTTTGTTTCATGTTTCAGTTGATTTTGAAGATGGGCATGAAATTAATTTTCTACAAACATATAAAGGAAGAAAACTGCACTTCCATCTATTGCAAATAGCGTGTAAATAGTGGAAAAAAGTATCCAAGTTGTATTTGAAACCCATTGAAATGTCCACTAATGTGGGCTCTATTCCCAGCTCTTTCACTGACACAGGATAATTTTTGTCTCTTAAAGTCTCTGGGCCTCTGCTTTAATGTCTGCAAAATGGGGATAATGATGGCTACCTCATTCATGAAATGTGTGGAGATCAACCGATGAAAAGTCTGATACAAGAGTTAACTATTACTACTATAATTTTGCTCTTTGTTCACCCTGCTCTCCTGATGTACAATATATTCACTGCTCCCTTTGCCTCTCACTTTTATCTTTCAATCAAACATAATGAACTGCTCAAGGAAAAGCTTAATTTACCACTCTACCCTGTCCTCAAAACTGCTTACTATGTTAATAGTTATTTATGCACTTAATCATTCTCTCTGCCCTCTCTTCTGAAGACTCACCCTTGTTCACCCAATACTGTTCCCCCCTCAATTTTTCATTCTTAACATACTATTTTTGACTAAGCACAAACCTGTTCTGCTATTTTTCAAGCCAAATATTAAATGCACAACCTCGGCTATCCTCATGTAATTTAATTTTCAGCATCTAGAGCCATACCAGGAATCAACAGAGCATCTGCTGCTCAGCTCCCCCCAAGTTCACATTTAGAATCTGATCCTGCAGTCAGATGTGCATGGAGCTCCTGTAGGATCTGCTGACATCAATGGAACTGCACACAGGTCCATGCATCCATTCCCATAGCCTCAAATGGAGGATCAGGAGCCTACAATATGTGGGAAACTTAAAACTTCTCAGAGATGGCCTGGCCCCAATGCTATGAAATCAGTGGGAGCTTTTCCAGTCTGGAACAAAAGTGTGCAAAGGATTGTTCTGATACACCATTAAATGCAGCTATGCAGATTATATCAGGAATACTAAAAAGTATGCCATTGCCATGGCTTCCAGTCCTAGCAAACGTTGTTCCCTCACAGCTCCACTGCGATGCCACATGCATGAGGGAATACCATAAGGACATCGGTAACCCAAACCTCCCAATCAACAAGGACATCACTACGCCACGACTGGATAGGTTCAAATCTAGAAAACCCTTCTGGAAATATGCCAACAAGCTCTATGATGATAACAAGAGCACTGAAGTACAATGGAGGGAAGACTGGGCAAACACCAACTTGCCACCGAAATACATCGTCACCAACCCTACAGTTCCCCAGCCAGAATTTAACCTTCTGAGAAAGATTTGGTCCTCCCTGAATCGCATCTGGATGCTTCCTGGAAAATGTGGACACCTACTCCATAAATGGAGAATCAAAGTGAGTCTGGGTTGCAATTGTGGTATGATTTTTCAGACAGTGCAACACATTGTGAACGACTGCCCAATTAGATCATTTAATGGTGATCTAAAAATCAATCCATGCAGCTAACCCTGAAGCAGTTAAATGGTTATTATATTTAGATATTAATCTATCAATGTTGTAATCCTAAAATGTCATACGCAAGAAGAAATGGGAGCTTCACCTGTTGGAGTGGGGCAGAATTCAACTAACACTGAATATTTCTGAAAACGCAATGAAAGTAGTGAGAGTGCCAAAGAGCAGGGAGGGAGGGAGGAGTGCCCCACATACCTGACATTCATACAGATGCAAACCCCTCCACTCCCTGAGCAATCCTGGATGTAGAGAGTTCAGGTCTGTTGTCATACCTGAAGCAATCATCTTACCTCTGAAGCGTGGAAACTAAACAATAGCTGACCCATCTGCACTTTTCAGTCACAGCTGACATGCTAATTGCAGTGTAAAGAATGTGAAGCATGCCTTAAGCAAACTCTTCAAATGCTATTACTTTTATTTATAGTTTTTTGTGAGATTTACTATAGTCTATTCTTAAACAGCACAAGATGCTGCATGTCCTCACGTTTGGATCCATAACTTCAAGCCCCTAACAGCTATGCAACTATGAAACTAACTCTTTAAATGTTCTGGTTCATAATTCTTTAAGTGCAGATAGCACATACATTCAGTTGTCTGGACCTTTTTGATTTTTCAGTCTCAATACTATGGCTACTAACAACTGTACCAATTATATTGACATTGGTACATAATAGTGAGCTCTGGAGGACAACAACAGTTTCTATGCTTTATGTTTGCATAGTGCTTTGTACATTGGGGCAATGATTTCTTATCGGTATTCTTAGGTGTAATCACAATAGAAATAAGCTGTAATAATCACCAATTAGATGTTAAATTAAGGACATAAGCACATTTCACAACCCATAAGTCACCAAGCTGTTACAGCCTGAATTAGTAATGACTTTTGTTCACTGTTGCCCTGGCCAGGATTCAAACTAGCCATCTGACAATCTAGCTGCCTCATTACTGATGACTCTCTCCATTCAGTTAATTTATTTACCAAACTAAGCAAGTTAAACTTAAGCAACAGTTTTTCTACCTTGTTCTGTCACTGCAGCAGCCACAAGTATTCTTCACGAACTATGGATGTGACTTAATTGACCTCAGCTTTTATACTAGTCATATATCATTGAGCCAAATAAAATAGTTAGCCAACAAAATAATAAATATCACAAACAGTAGGGTAAACAGCAATCTTTGGAGTTGTCCTTGGCTATACAGGTAGCTTAGGAGTGGGAGCCTGACCCTGTATGTGTTTGTAAAGCACCGTGGACATTTAAATGGATCTTTGTAAAAAAATCACGGAAGAGATCTTGCAGTCCTTAGACAAAACTGCCATTGAGGGGCTTTGCTAAGTCAGGTCTGTAGGATTTGGCTCAACAATTTTATTTACTTTACCTCTTCCGACTGTGCAATCAGTATTACAGCAAAGGACAAAAAACAAAACAAACAAAAAACACTTAAAAAAATTAGGAAAAAACTCCCCACTGAGACAGTTTCTCTGCTGTGGAGAAGGTGAGCATGAGATAGACACTGATTAAAAAAGTGCATATAAAATTCATGCATGGAAGGTTTTCAGATAAGAAGTCCTGCAGAATTATATTCAGCAAAAAAAAAAAAAAAAACCTACATGAAAAGACTGTTAAGACTGCAAAATCCTAAACCAAGTTAGGAAATGTCTCAGTGAAGAATGCTGATGCAAAAAGAAAATTAATTAAATTTGTATTGCGTTATAATTATCGTCAATTATGAGATTACCCACTATTATGTCTACTAAGTGAGCTGTGATATCATTTTTCTCATTGGCATTCGCATTCAGTATGTGGCCCTGGGCTTTCTATAATACCCACCACCCCAGACCTAAACTGAATATAAAATTAATTCTCTCATAGTCTTATACTGTCATCTAAATGCTTCACTGAAAATTACATTTCTGTACACAGCAACCCCTGTTAAAGGAGGTGGCATTACTGGTATTTACCTCATTTTGCAAATGCAAATTGTGGCCAAATTGTCAAAAAACAAAAAAAGAAGAAGAAAACCCCCAAGGTCGTCCTAAACTTTCTTGTCTATTGGATGAGCATGACTAAGGCATGCCAGTTCCTGAAGACAATTGCACATGAGAGAATGATGTGGCCTGTATCACGTTCAGCTGTGTTTAATTCCCCAACCCAAATAACCAGGTACACACTTATAACTAGAACAGCCCTTGGCACAAGCCCAGACTGGAGATCAAACTCAAACCTCTGGTCCATCATGAAACACCTTAAATCAGTGCAACTCAAACTACAGTCCCTGGAGTCAAGTCATCCAGCCCATGGGCCCCCCACGAGTTCAAAACTTAACTGACCTGGGAACACTGGCAGTGATAACTGCCTACAGTTCTGGGAGCAACTAACACTTCCACTGCCCCTTCTTTAAATTTTCTGACCCATGGGGAGCCCCATGGATTGGACAACTTAGTCCCATGTGCTGGATCAGGCCAGTGTGTAGGGCTGGCCCATAGCCAGACCTGGTGCATGGGGTCAGACCATAGATGGAGAGAGAAAATAGTATGGGGGGGGGCGAGT